CACACACTGCCCCATCAGCTCCGCCCCCATCTCTATCCCAGGCCCTTTGACCCCAGCTCTGCCTGTGAGCCAGTGGGAAGGAGCAAGCCGCTTTCCTCTCCCACTCCCCCACTCACCGGGCCCCTTCAGAGGCCTCAAACACCTCGTCGTCCACATCTTCTTCCCCGCCTGCCTCATCCTCGTCCTCATCCTCATTGCCACTGCCGAGGCTGGGATGAGGCCCAGGGCATGGGCTGGGCCGGGGGGCAGGTGGGTGGGCAGTGCCTGGTGGGCCCTCAGAGCTGGGCTGACTTTCAATGGCCGAGTCAGCCTCCTCCCGCTCAGCCAGCACCTCATCGATGTCAGTCTCGCGGTAGCACCTCAGGGGCACCGTGTCCAGGTCTGTCTCAGAGTACTTGGCCGCTCGCCCCACAGCCACCCCAGAGCCCTGCCCTGAATCCACCCCAGGTGGAGATGGGGGGTTCTGCTCTGGGGGCTTAGCACCTGTAGTATGTACATAGGCATCAGGTCAGGAGGTTAGCCACGTTAGCTCCCTGTCCTAATCCTGTTCTAGGAGCTCTGCCCACTGCCTCATATTGGCAGAAGTTCTCTCACTGTCTCATCACCATTCCTCCTGCTACAAACTTAGCTTGTTCCTGGTGCCAGTGGAGCTCATTTTAAATCAAGTTCTTGTCAAATGGCTTTGAGGAGCCAGAGGAGCCTGCCTTTTTCTATTCTTTTTTTCTTTTTCTTTTTGAAACAGGGTCTCACTGTGTCACCCACGCTGAAGTGCAGTGGCGCAATCATAACTTACTGCAGCCTTGACCTCCTGGACTCAAGAGATTGTCCCATCCAACCTCCCCAGTAGCTGGGACTATAGATGCATACCACTACCTCCAGCTAATTAAATTTTTTGTAGAGTCTTGCTCTGTTTCCCAGGCTGGTCTTGGACTCCTGGCTTCAAGCAATCCTCCTGCTTCGGCCTCTCAAAATGCTGGGATCACTGAGACTGATGAGCCTCTTTTCTACTCCCTGGAATGCCCCCCAATATCCTGCCATCCCACCCTCCATTTTTCAGCTTCCTCCAGCATTCCCTATCCTCCAGCCTCCTGTGATAGCACAAATGGAAGGAATGAGGCCTGGGGAGGCACTGGCTGGCTCAAGAGCCAATTCCAAGGATTGGCGGAAGCTTGAAGGAAGGCTCCCTACCAAGCCTCAGCCGCTGTGTAGAAGGCCCTGCCCTGTTCTCCTTGCCTCAGTCCCAGGCCTTACCTGAGCTGGGGGGATCCAAGGAGCCATAGAAGAATTCCCATTTGGCTCGAGCGATTCTCTGGGCATGAGAGGAAACTTCCCGGGGGGAGGACCAGGTATCCCCCTGAGCCAAGGAGGGAAACACAGGCACCCAGAGATAAAGCCAGACATACAAGGATGCAAGAATATGGGACAGAAACAGAAATTAAAACATGCAGGGACAGAGATGGAGGTGCAGAAACACAGAGACAAACAGAGGGCAAGAAAGAGGCAGATTTAGGACAGATTAAAAGATTCAGAGTGACCAGTAGACAAGTCCATGTCTGACAGAGGGCCGAACCTTGGCCCTTCACTGGGGGCTGGGGGGAGCCCAGGGGAAGTTGCATACCTGGTTCAGGAATCCAGTGTCAGCAGGTCCTCTGAAGAGTGTGGCCAGACGCTCAGGGGGGCCCCCCAGCCCATTGGGGAGAGAGGAGTAAAGCCCATCTGCTCCAACCTGGGGTGGGGCTGGTGGCCCATGTATAAGGTTCCGGCTGCCAGGTAGGGTCGAGCCTCCTCTGGCTGGGAGTGGGTCTGATGTGGATGCTTCCAGCCGTAACTTCCGGTTGGAGCCAGGCCCAAGGGCTGGGGTGGGCCTGGGAGGAGAAACTCCACCCAGATCCCAGCTCCGACTCAAGCCCCCAGGAGCAGGTAGCCCATTCAGTGGCCTCACACTGGCCTTCTCCACAAAGCGGAAGATGACCACAGAGCTCTGGGCCCCGGGTGGGGGCTGCCCAGTGGGTGATGAGGATGCCCAGGGTGAGGGAGCAACATGGGGTGAGGGGGGGCCACGCAGAGGGGTACAGGGTGCTGTCACACGTCCCAGTTCCCGGCCTCGAGGACCTGGACCTGCCACTCGCCGTAGCAAGGAGCCTGTGCTGCCATACATGCTGGCTGGGGGACTCTGGGGCACCGGCCCTTCGGGGAGCCAGCGGCGTGGGCATCGTGGTGGGGAGATGGCACAGTCGCCTTCTGAGCAGAAGCGCATGGCACCCTGGGCCATGCTGGGACCGGGGGTCAGGCTGGGGGGGCAGGGATGGCGAGGCCAGGCGGGGAGTAAGAGGGCTGCATGCTCTTCAGACAGGCCTGTAAGAGAGGAAGGGGAGCATGGGGTGAACTGCCAAGGAGTTAGATGGACAGGACAGCAGAGATAGGGAAGGGAAAGTTGGCTGCAGGCTCTGAGTACCAGGGACCTAGCTCACCCTGGGAATATGGGATCAATGATCCCACGCCTGGGGGCTACTTCCATAGAGGCCTGAGGAGAAAAGAGTTATATACCCAGTGGGCCCCTGGCTCCTTTCCTTCTGCCTGAAGCCCTGAGCATCACCCTGGGAGAAGAGAGGAAGCAACTTCAGAAGTTGAGTGGGCCTGGAGTTCTTAAGGTACTTTGGAGCTACTGCTGATATGGGGGTAGTTGGTACCCCACCCTCTGGAGCAAGGGTGTCAGCCAGGTGTCACCATCATACAGCCCTGTGACCCCTATAGTCTTTCCTATGGAGGCCCCTCACTCAGGGAAGGGAAACTCAGGCCTTCTGGAAGGAGAGGGAAGAACAGGGGTTATATAGGAATGCTGAAGGGCTGAGAGGCACAGCATGGAGGTAGAGAGAAAGGCCTGAGCAGATGCTCCTACCCCTGATATATGTATACAGAATGGGAAAGGGACATTCCTTTTTTTTTTTTTTTTTTTTTTTTTTTGAGGTGGAGTTTCGCCCCTGCTGCCCAGGCTGGAGTGCAATGGCGCTATCTTAGCTTACTGTAACCTCCACCTCCCAGGTTGAAGTGATTATCCTGCCTCGGCCTCCTGAATAGCTGAGATTACACCACCACACCTGGCTAATTTTTGTATTTTTGGCAGAGATGGAGTTTCACGATGTTGTCCAGGCTGGTTTCAAACTCTTGACCTCAGGGGATCCCCTCACCTCGGCCTCCCAAAGTGTTGGGATTACAGGCATGAGCCACCACACCCAGTCAGGGACATTCTTTTCTCCATACAGGTACAGACAGGCACATACATACACACACACATACATAAGGACAACTATATCAGTACACAGTTAAACACATTCATAGGTAACACCCTCTGGCACACACAGACACAGACACACACACACACTGCTCAGACACACCCTCATGCACTCTCATAGTCATAACAAATACGTGTGTAATGGAAAGGCACATGCTTGTTTTACACACACACCATCATCAAACAGGAACACACAAAGAGGTACCCTAATATATATACATAGGCTGTTATTCTCCAGTGCACACAGAGGTCCAAGTGTATCAGACACTCGGAGACCTACTGCTCACAGTCACATACACATACAGATGTACACTTACACACTCAAGCAGGGACACACACCCTCCCCTCCCCCCACTAGTCACTGGGGTCTCTTGAGGGGAACCTGCACCATATTCTTCATCTCCCTCTCCCCCCAGGGGTATGACAGATCCTGTCGGGCCAGGAGAGACCATAACCAGGTAAGGGGGCCTCTGGTGGCAGTGCAGGGGAGGGGCAGAGGTCAGGAGCAGCAACCCTGCAGGGCAGGTTCCGGAAGCTCAGGTTCCTAGCGCATACCCGGTGCAGCCCCAACTCAACGCCACCTCAGTACTCACCGCTGCTCGCCCAGAGCTGAGACCGAGGAGAGACAGAGGAGAGGCTGGGCCCAGCTCAGCTGTGAAGGAAGCGCGGCTCCCGCTTGCTCCAGGCCCGCCCGCCTCTCAGTCCCTCCCCCTACCCCCTACGCACCGCACAGGCAACGCTAATCCCCCTCAGCCCCCGCCCTCTCTCAGGGCCCGGAGCCCTGGAGGCTGCCAGCCCCCCTTGTCGCTAGGTCCCTGCTGGGCTCTCCCGCCAACCTAAGACCCGCCCCAGACCAGGAGGAGGACGCATGAAACCCTTGGTTCTATTCCCCAGACCCTCACGTGCCCCACCCCGCTGTGTTCACGTCTCTCTCGTCCACCGCCCCTCGAGCCACACGTAAGGCCCGGCTGCACACGCGTGTGCCGCCCCAGACCCCACGCGTGTCCCTAGGAGGCTGCCACATGACCTGTTACATGCCACACGCGCTCCCGCCCCCACGAGCACGCGGCCGCGCCAAGCACACGGTATGGGTGTAGACTGGACCCGCCCCCTAAATCCAGGAGACCATTACCTACGGAAAGGAGATCTAGGGAACACTGTCTTGAACCGCCAGGGGTTTTGAGTCTCGGACCCAGGAGACCCAATCCTAACCACCCTCCCAGGATGCAGCAGGGGAATGTTAAATCAGACTTCAGGAAGAACTTCCTTGCTGCCTAAGTTAGGTGTCGTCAACGCCTGCCTAGGTGTAAGAGGTTAGATGGGATGACCTCGGGACTGGAAAACGTGAGGGACAGGCAACCCTTGTGCCCTTGGCCAGGGTAGAAGGGGGCCCTGCTATTTTAAGAAAGCGCCGCTCGAGTTACTATGACAATTACTCTCCTTGGGAGAGCCAGGGCGGGCAGATGGTGACCTCGGAAGGAAGAAGGGGTCTGTTAGGGCGGTCAGGGGGTGCGAGGACGTGAGAGGTGGGGGCGCGCGGGGCTCACCGCGGGGAGGGGCGGCGCGGACTCCGCGTGGTGCTGAAGGGGACAGCGCCAGATTTGTCGAACTGCGCAGGCGCAGAGGTGCGAACAAAGAGGGGAGGGGGACGAGGCGCGCGGCCGGAGGTGATGCGTGCTCTCACGTGGCTCTGTCTTTGCAGGGGTCTGTCCTCCCAGCCATCCCCCTCCAAGCAGGCTGAGGAAGAGGTAGCAAGCCCTCACCTAACTTGACCCCCTTCTGGTCCTTCCCCGCTGCTAGCTTCTCCCTTCTCGCTGCCTTGCGGGGTGGGGAAACGCGGAATTCTGGGAAAACCAGATGTCTGGATTCTCTATTCCCGTCTGGCTGGATTCTGGACAAGGCGTTTCCTCTCCAGGGCCTCTGCTTCCCCATCTTTAAAATGGAGTGATAACATAGACCTGTCCACCTTTCAGAGGTGCCCGAAGCCCTGACGAATAACAGATGAGAAGCAGTTTTCGTTGTGATGAACCACTGAATCAGTTGCACCGAAGGAGCGCCAGACCGTCAGCGGTGCAGTGGTCCTTGCATCCTTCACATTCCCCTACACCCATCCCGTGGATGATGGAGGAAGGCACTACTCCTGGGGTTCCCGTAGTGGATCCTGGGACTGAGACGTGGGGAAGCGGTGAGAGGCAGCCCAGAAGCTGAGTCCAGAGGTCTGGGGTGTCACTGCCCCAGGGCGGACCCAGCCCCAGACCCTACAACTAAACCCAAGGCCAGCCAAGAAACACAACCTCTGGCGGGCTGAACTGAGCTCTCATTCTTCTCAGGACTCTGGACCTTTGGAGAAAATGAAAGGGACCCAGTTGGAAATGATAGTCCTTCTTCGCTCCCCCTACGTCTCTCTCTCGCGGCGGAAACGCAGCCCAAACTGTTCCGAAGTGGAAGAGGCTGGATAGCTCTTCACAGTTAACCAGGAATGGGAAATTTGAGCAGGTTTACTTGAAGGAAAAATTATAGCCTCACCCATTCATTCATTATTTCAACAATTACTTATTGAACACCTGCTACGTGGCAGACAGTAAGAGTCTGGATAGTTTCTCCCCGTTTTTCAAAGCCGCTAAACGCGACTAGAGGGCAGAGGCGAGGCCGGTAACCTAGGAGTCCTGGCTCCGCCCCCTCCGCCTTTGGCCTTGCCTGCTCCTCCTCCCGTCACCACTTCGCTCAGAGGCGGCTACTGGCCCAAGAAGACGACAGAAGCCAGTCAGTCTCTGATGCCCACCGCATTCTCCAGCTTCGGGCCTGAAGCCCTGTAGCCGAGAAGGCGAGGTCTAATGTTACACCACCGGTCTGTTCCGCCTCCGTTTCAGGGTCCATCCGAAAAGCTTTCAGATCGGATCCTCGTTGAGACGGCACTCGATTGAATCGGTCTGTCTCTACAGGCCAAGGAGGCGGGTTTGGCACAGCCACTCCAAGGCCAAACCGGGGGAAGCTTACTGCGCACGCGCAATAGACAGCTTAAGGAGCCACCGATGGAGCCGTCCGGAGGGGAGCAAGAGCCCGGAGCCGTCAGGTACCGATCACCGGAGGGACCGAAAGAGGGAAGAGGAACCTGAGAGAGGGGAGCCGAGCCGGGGCTGGGGCTGGGGGCCGCTCTTGGGAGCTTGGGCGTAGGGCCATAACGGAGGCGGACTTGCAGGTAATAGTGGCCCGGGACGCCAGTGCCAACGCCCCTTTACTCTCAGGCTCCTGGACCTGCCCTGGGAAGACGTGCTGCTCCCTCACGTCCTGAACCGGGTACCGCTGCGCCAGCTGCTCCGGCTGCAGCGCGTTAGCCGGGCCTTCCGGGCACTGGTACAGCTTCACCTGTCCGGGCTGCGTCGCTTCGACGCCGCGCAGGTGAGCCGGGGGCTGAAGCTCCGCCCCTGCCTGGGCTCCTCCCCGCCTCTAGGCCAGCCCCAGCCCCACTGTATGCCCTTCCTGACCCCCTTAGGCCGCCGGAGCTGCCCGGGAAGGGATCCACGCAGCAGGGAGTACTCCCAAAGGGCGAATACTGGGTAGCGACTCAGGGAATGTGGGCGTCTTTCCTGGGAGAACAGGCAGCTGCCAGGAAAGAACTTAGGGGCGCATAGGCGGCTGAGGAGTGCGGGACGGGCTGAGAGTTGGGGTGCCTCCCCGCCCGCAGGTGGGTCCGCAGATCCCACGGGCCGCATTGGCCCGGCTGCTGCGGGACGCCGAGGGGCTGCAGGAGCTGGCGCTGGCGCCGTGTCACGAATGGCTGTCAGACGAGGATCTGGTGCCGGTGCTAGCGCGGAACCCGCAGCTGCGGAGTGTGGCGCTGGCCGGCTGCGGGCAACTGAGTCGCCGGGCGCTTGGGGCGCTGGCCGAGGGCTGCCCACGCCTGCAGCGCCTGTCGCTCGCGCACTGTGACTGGGTGGACGGGCTGGCGCTGCGCGGCCTCGCCGACCGCTGCCCGGCCCTGGAGGAGCTGGATCTCACCGCCTGCCGCCAGCTCAAGGACGAGGCCATCGTGTACCTAGCGCAGAGGCGTGGCGCTGGCCTCCGCAGCCTCTCGCTGGCCGTCAACGCCAACGTGGGGGACGCCGCGGTTCAAGAGTTGGCTCGGAACTGCCCAGAACTCCAGCACCTTGACCTCACCGGCTGCCTCCGCGTCGGAAGCGACGGTGTCAGGTGCCTGGGCCTGGTGGGGCGGTAGGGTGGGAGGAAGGCAGTCACTTACTTAGCCTCTGAAGGTATGGAGTGGGCTGTAGTTGTTAAAAGGACGGACTGAGGGTTCTGAATCTTCCTGCAAACCACAGAACCCCCATTCTGAACAGAAAAAGCCTCTAGGATTGCCTTCCGGACCCCCTTAGGCCAGAGAGCCCATAGTTTAGAAACTTTTTTGAACCAATATTTACACATTGGGAGATTTCACATAGAAAGTCGACTTCTGGCTTTTCTTCAACGAGGGGGAAACCTTGCAATCCTAGGCAGAGCTGAGGGGCAGGTTCCCCCCTTAAATGAGACAGGAAGTTTCCGCCTCCCTTGTGTAGGGACGGAAAAAGTATGCCCCTGCCCCGAGCTGGACGGAGACCGGGATTTTGCCGGAGCTAGTCCGAGGCTGAGTGAGCCCGGGCCCCCACCCTACCCCACCAAGGGTGTAGTGGCCTCCTGCCGCTAGCCTCACCCTGCTCCTCCCTCAGGACATTGGCCGAGTATTGCCCGGTGCTGCGCTCGCTGCGAGTGCGGCACTGCCACCATGTGGCCGAGTCCAGCCTCAGCCGCTTGCGGAAACGCGGCGTAGACATCGACGTGGAGCCGCCGCTGCACCAGGCACTGGTGCTGCTGCAGGATATGGCGGGCTTCGCACCTTTTGTCAACCTGCAGGTCTGACCCTGCCAATCGGAGCACAGCTGGACTGTGTGGCTGAGGCCTGACACTGAGCGGTAGGGAAACTGAACTGTGGGGACCTCTGGTGAGAGGCCAGTGCCCTGCCCCACCCTGGAGCTTCAAATAAAGAGCTTTTTACCCCCTTTTGCCTGGTGCTGCCCTGTTAAAGATAGAGGATTCAAGGTTTGGGAGGGAAGGTCAGACAGGCCTAGTGTCCCAGTCCTGAGGCAGAAATGACCAGAATGCACTCACACCTTCCTTGGGCCACCTTTACTGAGCCCATGGAGGCAGCTCCGAGAGTAGGTTAACACTATGGAGCAAAGAAGTAGAGAATGGGGACAGGAGTTAGGGGGCCCCTGTGTAGGGCTGTAGGGCTCCTGCATCCCTCTGGGATCTGAGCCTAGAAGGCTCGGGCAGAGTCCGGCGAGTGCCTCAATGGAAGCGGTACTTTCTGGCCGGCTTGAGGTTGATGTACGTGGCCTTCATCTCCTCGGCCTCAGGGTTCCGCACATCTTTGAATCGCTCCCCTTTGGTGCTGACTATCTGGTTGTCGATGTATCGGATCAGCTTCTTGGGGGCCTGTCAGACAATCAGGCAGTGAGTGGCAGAAGCCAGGAGCCAGTCCCACCCATTCCACATCCCCAGCAACCCCAACTCTCACCTCCTTGGGAGCCATGGGCCGGTGAATCTTCTGATCCTCTGCACTATCCACCATCATGTACCTGCCAAAAACTGGCTGGATGAAGCTCCTGCCGCCGTGGGAAGACCCTCTAGGGCACAGCCCAGCCCAGCCCAGCCCAGACTCACTTCTGCAGGATGAAGGACTTCAGCTCATCCTTTTGGGGACCTCTGAGGCGTCTAGGCAGGTCCTGCAGAGAGGGGAGGCCTGGTCTAGGCCCATGGGCACCAGCAGGGGAAACAGACGGGGATAGGGAGGGGTCGGGGCTTAACACCAAGGTGGAATGTAGCCAAGGCTACATGGTGGGGGGTGCTGGGAGAAGATACCTGGTTGGAGCCATCCCAGGCTGCAGGCCCCTCTTCCTTCCCCTCTACCAGCATCTGCACAGCTTCTTCCAAGTCCCCCCGAGCTTTGGCCAGCACCCACTGGGCCTGCTCCACCGAACAGGTAGGGAACACCTCCAGGAGTACATCCACCCCTGGCAGAAGCTCCTCCTCAGCACCAGTTGCCTAAGGGTACAAACATTAACAAAAGGCAATACTCCCCCTTTCCAGCCCCCTGGGTCCCTCATTGCTACCCTCCTCTACCAGTACCTCATCTTGGGTGTCCCCAGCAGCAGCAACAGCAGAAGACCTGGTCTCTTCTTTGAGCATTTCTGGCCGCTGCAGAGGCTCTGGGGAGATGGGCACCTGACCTTGGACACCAGAGCTCTGCGGTTGCAGGTTCTCTTAAAGAGGCAGAGAGAGCATCAGGTTTGCCAGCGCTCTGGGGAGTAGGGAATTGGGAGGGGTTATGAATCACCCAGGTGCCTACAGCCCCAGACTCACCTTTGTTCCTGGCATCGCTCAGCTGCCCTGAGAGCTTCTGCATCATGTCCCCTATTGTGCCCCTGAAAACATAAGAGTGGTGAGAGAAGACAACTCTGCCCACCCTATAATCAGCTGGCCCCTTCCTCCTCCTGACCCCAGCCAGAACCTACCTGGGGATGTGGGCAAAGCCAGGCACATAGGCCTCCATCATCTCAGTGAAGGCCTCCATGTCGAAGTTCTCCTCTGATGGGCCTGAGGGGCCCAGGTCCTCCAGGACCCCGAGCACATAGGAGAAGATGACCTCATCCAAACCACTGCAGGAAGGGGCCAGGACAAGCCCTGGGTAGGACACTGGATACCTCCAGCATCCCCACCTGTCCTGAAACTCCAGCCTTCAGCTTCATGAGCTAGACCTTAATCCTTGAGGCTTTCAAAAAGTGTAACCCCCGCCCCCAGAACTATGGTTTCCCATCTGCCCAACAAAGGTAACAGGGACAGGATGAGCGGGAAGGCCTCTCAGCATATCGTAATCAGCACTCCCGCCATCTTTCCATCAGCCAGGACTCATAGTACTGCCCGGCAACTCCAGCTCTGGCACTGACGTGAACCTTCCGGGGGAGCTGTCTCTACCTGAAGTCGGCCTCCGGGAGGTGCGTCTGGACAAAGGCAAGGAGGGCTGCACTGACGATCCTCTCCAGCTCCATGCTCTCTCCTCTTCTGAAGGGACACAGACAGACAGGATGGCCAGGACCTCTTTTGTCTGCACTCACCCACTGGACCTGGGGGCAGCAGCTTCTCCCTCCTGGCCTGCTGTGGAACCATCTGTTGATGCTGCCCTCTCAGTTCTCCCAAGCAGAACCATGCCCCCTCCCCCACCCATCTCTTACTTCCTCCAGCCTGAGACAGGATAGGGTACTGTCTCTGGAGACAGCCTCTAGAGGAGTGCCTCCCACCTCTCCCCATCCCCTTACCCCATTCCCTAGCAGCAGCCCCAGACCTTCTGGCAAGGTCTTGAGGTCACATGCCTCCTGGCTCAGGAATCCACAGGAATCCTCAGGAATCCTTGAGGGGGCCCCTTAGCCTCCAACCACAAGGGGCCCCATTGTCCAGCCCCTCAAGGAGCAGCCTCGTGACCAAGGACAGCCCTTCCCCCACCCACAACAGCTCACCCACCCTCTGCACAAAGGGGCTTTTCTGGCTCTGGGGCCCAGATAGAAGGGGAAGCCTTTTATGGTTTCTCTCCTCTCCCCAGTCCCTGCCCTTCCTGCAGCCTGGGGCTATCCGCAGAGCACTTTCCATCGTCCTCCCCAAGTCCTGCGGGGCCCACAGATCCGGCCCTTTCCCAGCTCTCCAGCCTCCCCAGTCCTTCCTGGCTGGCTTGCCCCTGCACTACCTTGCTGTCCCTCAGACTTGCTGAGCTTCCTCCTGTCTCTACCCACATGCTACTGACTCCCAAACAGACTTTTGGGAGTCAAAATGATGGACATGGGGATGGAACATGTCAACAAGTATGTATTGTGCACCTACCCAGGGCAGGCATTTTGTGTCCTGCAGACATCCATGGCTTGTCCAGTCACTCCTCAGGGCTCCACTCAAATGTTACCTCATCAGAGAGCCCTTCCCTGACTAATCTACAGCAAAGAAGTCTTCTCTATGCCCCTAACCATACATAGCACTTACTACCGTTAGCATTATTTTGTGCTTATTTGCCTATTGTCTGTCTGTCCCCATAAAATGGAAGCTCCAAAGCGAGGTGGGGAGGAGGGGACACTCTGTCTTGTTCATGCCCTAGCACCTAGAAAAATGCCCACACTAGGTAGGTGCTCAATACATACTTGTTGACATGTTCCATCCCCATCTACATACTTTTGACTCCCAAAGGTCTGTTTGGGACATACCCTTGATTTTGCCCTTTTTCACCCCTACCTGCTGCACCCAGTCAGCCAAGTCCGTCAGTTCTACTCCCTTCTTATCCGAATTCTATCCACTTCTCCCTATCTCGAGTCTGGCTTCTGCCCCA